CTGAGGAAAAGTAAGAAATATGAAATATAAAAATGTTCTGTGAACCTTGCTTTTGCTTCCCTTTGTTGCTCTCTTGCAATGTAAAAACAGATAAATGGTTTCCTCTTTCAAATACAACAAAAAGAAATGACTCCTGGGAGGAGCCCTGGGATGCCAAGTTAGAGCCTGGATTGAATTTTTATGACCACTGTAAAAACTCCTGAAAATAGGAAATTATAATGGAAATGCTGACTCTCACTGCACCAGTGTGAGCAGCACCACCACGGCGTTATTAGCGATCTAAAGAGGCTGGAAGTTAAAGTGGAATCATTTACACAACCGACTTCACACCACTTTGCAAACAAGGAGTGTGTGGGCCGGCGGGCTGGGGGTGGGGGGAGATCTTGCGTTTAATTAGTTTCTTGCAAAATCCATTGTGATTCTTGAAGAAGACAAATCCCCTATCGGTCTATTCCGTGCTCTGGGTTTTCTTTCCTACTCCGCAGAAGTTGCTGGCACACAGTTGTCCCCGCCGGCTGCGCGGGGCGCTGGGGGACAGGGACGCCGGAGGGTCAGCTGGGACTTAGGGGCCCTCGGGCCTCTCCCCAGCAGCAGTAGCTCTCTAGACAAGAGCAGCAACATGTTAAAGCAGTGGGTCACATCTCAACATCGCAATCAAGCAAAAACGATTTCCCCCTTGCTAACAAAATGGAGATGTTCCAAAGTTTGTTTTGTATTTTCAGGGAGCCCTAGAAGTTTGGGGGGGGGAAAAAAAAAAAGGAGAACTCAGAAGTTGGCAAAAGAACGTTATATCCATCTCTGCTCCGATTTTCTTTTTGGGGGATGGAGGCGGGAGTTGCTATTTGAAGAGCGTTTACTCTCACCGCGGGAGCAGTTTCCACCCGCGTTGTTCTTCCCTTTCTTGTCATTAGCAGCTATTAAAATAACAAGGCTACATAGGACCTGAAGAGCGAAGAGGGGTCGTGAGAGACGGGAGGACCAGTTTGGGAAAGGGTGTGCCGGAGCACCCGCGCTGCCTCCGGGCCCGGCCCCGCGCCCGCCGCCAGCCGCAGTCCTAGGACACGCTCCGCGCTCGGTCCCTGGGGATCATGCCCCTTCCTGCCCCTCTCTGACTCTACCTTTGCGTCTCAGTCCGGGCCATTCTACCGGGGGCAGAGCCCGCACACTCTAATCCTTCACCATGATCGTCACCAAAGCCAAAGGAAGAGGAAAAATCAGGCAAAGAGAAGAAAAGCAGAAAAGATACATATATATATATATCTATATCTCCCCACATATATATGTGTGTATATCCCCCAGGTGCCACTGATAGCTAACTGGGGGCCTGTGTCGGGGGGGACACCTTGCCCGGGGAGGCGTGAGGACAAGGAGGGGGATGTTGCAGTGCATCTGTGCCTGCTCTCCGCTGCGTGTCTGCCGCCTGGGCTGCTCCATCCTCCCGGTGAAGCTCCGAGAGCGAAGAGGCTTTGGAACCGCTGCCGAGCTCTGCCGGCTGCTCTGTCCTGCTCCCGCTCCATTTCCCCGGCAGCGTCGGGAGCTGCAGGGCTGCCGAGCGGAGACAGCTTTGCCCAGCCATCCCCCCACCCATCGCTGTTGCGTTCGCCGGACTCCTGGGGCGATGCAGCCCCTGGACTCGCCGAACACACCAAGGTCCCCCTTGCCCCACCGCACACGCTATTCCCGCAGTCTCAGCGAGGCTTCTGCGTCTGATGCTTCGCGAGTGGCATGGTTGTTTCTGCTCCGTAAAAGAATTTTTAAGGGACAAGAGCAGTTCCCCGGCGGGGAGAAAGTCCCATGGAAGCAAAAGGGAGTTTTATCCTGCCCGTGGCTACGGGATGGGGCCGGGAATCGTTATTCTTGCAAAGGTTAAGTGGGTGCCGAAGGTGAAGGAGGGCACCCCAGCTGCGGAAGGGAAGAGGAACAGCAGTCAGGCTGTGCAGCCCTCTCCCAACAAGCGTGTAGGTGCATCCAGGGATGCCCCGCATCTACAGGAGCGTAAACCAGAGGAGGTGCGATCCCCAGTAATACCCGCGCAGCGGAGGTTTAGCCCTTGAACCCAGAACTCGTTAGAGAGCAGGCGACAAGCGCAGCGGGCTCCCCACGGGAGGGACGGAGAAATGCTCTCAGATGTTCTCCTCGGACCCTCTGAGTCTGCTCCGCAGTGGTCACGAAGTCACCCACCCCTGTACGGGCACCAGCACCGGCACCGACGGCACCGGGGCGGGGCGGCAGCGCCCGGCGGCGGCCCCGGCTCTGCGGGCGAGCACCGGGCAGGCTGTCCCCGTGTGGTGGACGCCTGGTGCTGTCCGGGATGCTGTTCCCCGAAAAAAAGGGGACATAGCTCAGGGTGGCCTTCGACTTGCAAATACGTAGGACAGGATAGGGACGGAGATGGTTTTGGGAAGAGGATACAGGTGGGAAATAGGGATGGGGGCTCCAGTGTCCCCAGTCACGACACAGTTTTCCCTTGAAACGAATTGGTTTTCTCTGTCACGTTTAAATCCTAAAAACGTGGCTAGCTTTGGGAGCAGATGCCTTCACTTTTTACGACTCTCTTGAAGTTGTAACATTCCTAATTGACAGCAGATCTCCACTGTGGAAAAGGGCAGTGAATTCCCTGCGTGTCAGTGCTAATAGTTGTTTTGTATCGCATTCCCTGTATTAGGTTGCCCACCGCTGCAAGTTGACATAATGCAAATTAACAAGGGACATCATACATATCCATTCGAGGATAAAGGTTTTGGAATAACATACCCTTCGTAACTTAAACACCACATATTTGAAACAAATGCACTTAACAAGACAGTTAACCCGAAACTTCAATTCTATCGCCAGTGGGTTGACAAGTCCAAATATTTTTGTTTTTTAACAAATACTTAAATATCAGACGACAGGTTATCTAGGCAGCTTTCAGCTACAGCTTTCAGGAATACTCTGAAATAGAATAATATCTCAACAACCTGCTTTAATTATAAAGTATTTTCACAAGGGAACCTTTTTTCTCTGTCTCCTTATCCCGCAGACAATGAGATCATTTACTGCCCTTTATTTCAATGTTTAAGTATTTATTTCGGAATGATGGGTTTGTAATTAGAAATGTATGGTTTTTATTTTGTTTACTTAAAGGCAGCACGTGTAGGTATCATTGCTGTTGTTGTGTTTACCGTCTCAACTAATCTGCTACTTCTCTAAAGAGAATTGAGAATTTTGTTTTATTAGTGCACTCACCCCCGGCTATATCAAGATTTTTCCTATAGGAAAAGAAAAATGTCCAGTTTGAAGAGCATATCTACCGTCTGTGTCTTGGTCTGGGGACACCTGGGAATCCGACATTCGTGTTCTGACAACGGCACTTGAAACTGTATCTGAAAATGCAAACTTATTCGAAGATGTCAACTTACAGCATCGAGCACATGATCATATTCTTGATCGGAATGAAAATGCGAGGTTTGGGGTTTGGTTGGGTTTTTTGTTTGTTGTTTTGTTTTGTTTTGGGGGGAGGGGGATAATGAGAAAGAAAGAGGGAAAGAAAATAAGATCATGAAATGCGAGAGAACTGAAGAAGCCTGGATGAGAAAAAGTTTTTGCTTCGCCTCTGCCTCATAAAAATGCCACTTGTTTACAAAAAGAGGGAACGAAAATCTCTTCGCCTGCCTAGAACAGTGAGCAATTCTGGACCCCAAACTCTCCGCAGAAGTAGAGAGGATTTGGGGATGAAATGGTAGTGCTAGAGCTTACTTCACCACGTTACCATCGTGCTCATGAACGTAGGGTTTTCTGGTTACTGTTTGTCGATTTTGGTTTTATTTGTTTGCTCGTTTTTCCTTTGGAGATGGTAAAAAAATCAGTGTAACAACCAGAGTGACATGAACAATAAAAAAACATATGCGTGTCCCTGAGCACGGTACCGTGTTATCCTGACGGATCTGTCTTCGCTCGCGTATTGTATTACCCTGGCTCCTCGGGACAGTGTAATACACCCAAGCAATTTTTCCCCCTTCACATCTCTAAAGGAGTGTGAATGGATGGATGAATAGAAAAACAAATAACCGAGGAGATTATGGCCTCAGGATTAATTATAAAGCACGTTTAACCTTTTTCTTTCGAGGGTTATTTTGCTTTGCCTGTGCCGCCCGGGTAGTCGCTCCCGGACCTAAGCAAGGCTCTGCGGCTCCCGAGCCACGGGGAATCCGCGGGGTTCCGCTCGCCGTGAAACCCCTCTAGGGTGCGGAGAGAGACCGTCCCCGTCCGTGGGAGGAGGGACAGGAGGAAAGCACCGAGGTCAGGGGCGCTGGGGCGAAAAGTGGGGACCAGGAGGGATGATGGGGCGTGGGGAGGAAGCGACTCTAAACCAGGGGTGGACCCCTCACAGGTAAGCGGCTCCGGGAATCCTCTCGGAGGATCTCCTCAGAGAGACAGAACAACTTGCGATCTCCAAAATTAATTCAGCGGGAGCAGATCCCTCCCTCCATCCTCTCCCCACTTTTTTTTTTTTTTCTCTCTGCCTTTCTCCCCGTCCTGCTCCCAGGGCAGGTCCCGGTGAGTCCTGTCCCGCGGCTCGGCTCGGCGGGGAAGGGGCGCAACGAGGCCGACCGGGAGCGATGGGTTGTGGAGCCGTGCGGTGCGGAGCGGTGCAGGACGGAGCGGTGTAGGGTGGCGGGGCCAGAGGAGCGTCCCCTTCACCGCGGAGCTGCACGGGGAACACTCCTGCAACCCCCAGGAAGACGCTCCGCCGCGGGGACCCGCGCGTAGCGGGCCCTGGGGAGATGCTCCGGGGGAGGCTGCGGGAGCGGGGTGGGGGGCGAGGTGAGAGGTTTGCGGGCTGCGAGCCCCGGGCTGCTGCGCCTCCGGGAGAAGCGGGTTGAAAAGTTGGTTCTTCCCAGCCAGAAGTTTTCTCTCCGCGTGCGCATGCCCGGAGTGCGGTGGGAGGTTGAGGGGGGAGCTGGAAGGGGGGGTTGAAATAAGGAGGAGGCAGGAGGGAAGGGATCGGTTCAGTCTGAGCGCGACTGCTCCCGGACGCGTTCGCACTCCAGCGCACGCAGCCGGCGCCGGGAGCAGGAGCAGGGAGAGCACCTCCGGCTCCGCCGGCCGGAGCACCTGGACACCTGGTCCCGCTCGGATCTGCCCGTACCCGTCGGAGGAGCAGTGGGGTGGGTGGGGAGAGCTGTGCCCCGCAGGGCCAGGGCAGACACTGACCTAGCCCAACTTTTTTTTTTTCCCCTATTTTTTTCCCCATTATTTTATTTTACCAGCTCCAATTTAGCCCAGGATCTTTTAACTGCTGCCAGCGGTGGAGCACAGATCGGGAATAGGTAAATAAAAAGAACAACTCATTCTGTTTGGTTTTTTGTTTTGCCAGGAATCGGGGGTTGGAGATATCGATCCAAACACTTCCTTTACCTCCTTTATTTCTTTGCCCCCATTCGCTCCCACCATCCTCTGGATGGTGCAGAAGTGTGGAAATTGTGGTTCACGTGAGGAGGACCGTTCTCCTTGGGGCGGGTGGAGGGCTGGGGTAAGCATTCACATGGATCTCGGATATTTTGATGCTATTTAAAGATTTGTCCTCCCCTTTCATAGTTGTTTCTCCCCCCTTGCGGAGGAGCTGTGTTTTTAACCCGAGCTAAAAATGACATACGAGCTGCAAAACAGAAGCCTGCACGTCCTTTACGGACTTGAACTTCCATCTTCTCTCCTCTCTATTATCGTATTATCGGCTTTCCTTTCCTATTCTTTCTCTTCCTTCTTTATTTATGAGACGTTCTTTTTTTTTTTTTTTTTTCCCTTTTCTCTTCTTACAACTCCATTTTCAGTGTTTTAGGATCCCAAAAGCTTTCTCTGTTTCCTCCCAAGGCCATAACAGAAATGAACCTGATGTTTATATTGTCTGAATGGATCGAAACAAGTTCAGAGCAGGGAGAGACTAAGCTTCTCTCGAGGCCGAGACTATAAAGTGTTAGTGCAAAGCCGATGATTAGGGTATGGTTGTTATAGTTGGCTTTTGGGAGGGAACCTATAAAAGTCTAGCATTTTTGAGATTATCGTAGCGCCGCGGGAATTGTTCGATAAATCGCGAGCCGGGCAGGATTATGAGGGCCGAGTCTCAGACAGGTGCACAGTCGGTCCAGTTCAGTAAGTCCGAGGTCAGCTTAGAAACAGACTCCTGAGCCAGCGTCGGGCTCGGCGGTCCCAGGGCTGCGGCAGCTCCGCGGCGGAGCCCGGCTGCGGGCGGCCGGGCCCGCGGATGCGCCGCCGTACGCTGCCTGTTCCCGGGGCTGTCACCGCAAAGGTTTGTCCCCCACCCGCAGCCCTGCGTGATGTGACCGTGGGAAGCGAGGAGTACAGAGAGGAGAAATCCTCCCCGTCTCCGTGAGAGAGAGAGGGAGGACGATTTGCTCTTGTGCACGGGACGTTTCTCTGTGCCTCCACTGGACGTTTCTCTAGGGAAAAAGCGAGGGTGAATCCTTTGCTAGGGACCTTTCTGCATCCGACGGGGGTTACAAAGACACATATCCAATACCCCCAAACCTACCGAAAAACTTGTGCAGGGAGAAGGTGGAGGAGCTTGGCCCCTGCGGCCCGTGGCCTCGTAATCCGCTGTCCCTCCAGGGGCTGGACCCGGGGATTTTTGCTGTTGTTTTGGATAAAGGCTGCCCCGGGCAGTGTAGCGATCGCTGGTGCAGTCGGATCCCGGTTATTAATTATAATTATTATTCGCGAGACTAAAATTCACCACATTCACCCGCGCTCGCAATGGTGGTCTGGGGGGACTTGTCAACACCGATTTCGTGATAAAATGTGAATGATGATTTTATAAGGATTGAGCGGAGATATCCAAGGCACATGCTGACTGAGTCCTTCCAGTCCTCATTAATGTTAGCAATTAACTCTTTCACGCTCAATTAGCCCCGAATAAACCTGCTTTAATAGATTTTGCACACTTCATTAATACTTTGAATAAATCGGTACTGAACAATGTACTTTATTCCTCAAGAGCACCATGCTCGAATAATGCTGAGCGAAAGGGCAGTTTCATTCCCTTTCCAATTAGTTTCCCAAACACAGATAAATTGTAAGCTCTATTTCCTCGCTCTAACTTTAGGAAGGGAAAGTTTCCTTCCCTCAAAGGGGACAAAATAAATAGCCGACCTAGTGGCAAAATGCTGCACCAGACTTCAAAAGATTCAGGCAAAACTGGGGGACTTTTTTGACAGATGAACCTGATTGCTGTAGTTTGAGGCTCTCGCAAGAATGCATCATTTTATGTCCACTACTTTGTCATGTTTGTAAAAATAAGCAGAGTTTTCAGGGTAATTTACCTCCTCCATTCTCCCATGTGGAACTAATTAGAAAACCTCATTATTTATGAGTCAGGTATTTAATGTAACAAATATCCCTTTCAAAGAACACATCGGAAATTGATAATTCAATGTAAAAAGGAAAAACACCGACTACCCACAAGATTACTTAAAAATCCATTTAATTTCGCCTCTTGCTATGCTACCAACGGAAAGCTGTGTTGATTTTTTTATTCTTTTTTTTTTTTTTTAGGCATATAGAGTAGGTAGAATTTAATCTAGAAGGTTAAGATTGCAACGGTCTTAAAACAATGGCAACTGGACAATAGCATTACCGTATCTTCAAACAGGACAAAGGGTAAGAAAGCTGGAGACAGATGTAGTCTTTCAAGTTTATGATCCTATTTTGCAGAGTAAATTTATCTTGGCATGAGTGGGTTTTGTTTCAGTCAGAACACAAGTGATTTGTTCTTAATTACTCACCGAGCTACTTTGTGTTAAAAAAGAAAAACCCGCACGGTTTTTTGCCATAGGAGAATTCAAATAGAGAGCTCTCGGGGTCTTCTTCTGCTTTTTTTTTTTAAAAAAAAAAAAAGACCTGATAACGATCTGTTTACATGAAGCAGAATTAAAGGTGGAGGTGACACCGAAATCAAAGAAACATTGATCTCTCTGCGGGCAAGCGGGAGACCAGAGAGTTACTGTGCTGTGAAACACGTTTGCTTTGATGTCCCGGAGAGAGGGGGCTTCTTTATAAAATACCCTGCTCTTCATCTGTATTTTTGACTATCCCGGTCGCACAGCGCAACAGTGTAGTTTACATTTCTGGAAAAGTGCCAAGAAACTTGTAGTAACGTGAAAATTCTGCTCCCACCTCGTCCTTTTCTTTTTCTTCTCTCTTTTTTATTTTTTTGCCTTGTTCTCTTTCTTTTTCTTTTTCATCTTTTTTTTCCCTCTTGATTTAACAGAACTTCTCTAGCAAAAAAAAAAAAAAAAAAAAAAAAAAGCAGCAAACAAGAAAATTCCGTGAGTGCAATGGATGTTGTTATGACCCAGTTGTATTTCTCCTTGATTTGTGCCCACTCTTCGTTTGGGGAATTGATTGAAAGTGAATTTTTTAAATGTTATTGATCAAGAATTTGCCCACATTGACATAGCAGATTTTTTGCTTATATGCTTATATATCCTATATTAAATAATTTCTAAGGATATGAAGAAAAAAAGAGGTATAAACCCAGAACTTTACTTCATTTGCAATAGCCTGTTTCATGCTTGAGATCTAGAGCTACCTAGATAGGAAAATAGACACGGAGCCGCTGTGATGGACAGAAACAGACATTTTTAGGTACCCAGACAAGAGAGTTTTCTGTGCACTTTGTTCTTGGGGTCATTGACCGAGGCATTTGTGCTGTGATATGGTCACACTTAGCACATAGGTAGCAGTAACTTAGTAGAAGTATATCTCCTGCAGAAAAACAAAACAGTCTGGTTGGTTCATCAGACTTAAATCATCTATTAAAAAAAAAAAAAAGGAAAAAGAAAGAGGAAAAGGAGGAGAATTGAGAATATAACGTATGCATTTTTCAATCAGTCACTATCCAAAATGCATCCAATTGAAAAAGGAAAAATGACAAAATCTCTTATTCTGGGTCATTGCAATGGAATTCCTCTAAGGTTTGAACCTCTCTTCCTGCTGCTGATTTATGTAAAGCAGTGTGAAAGGTGGACCCAGAGTACAGAGCTGCTCAGAGTAAGCTTCTCGTCTCACACCCTCCCAGCCCCAGCTCCTCTGTCCAGGCAATAACCTACATATAAATCAGATTTGTTTCCCTGGTCTTTAGACCTCTTCCAGCATCACTTTCCACCCCCCCACCCCACCCCCCCTTCCAGCCCAGAGGGACAATTGCTGCTCTGCAGTACTTTGCTGGCTCCATTTCTCCAAAGGGGTATTACTTTTCACATGGGCATGAACTCTAGTCTGAGTACTGTGCGGACCCCGACAGGATCTTGTGGGAAACCTACAGTGACTCAGCAGGAAGCCTATAGGGATCCTACGAAGACCCTATGTGGATCCTGCAGAAATCCTGCAGCAAATCTGTGAGGATCTTGTAAGCATCCTGTGGAGAGTTCAAGGGGATTCTGCCAGAAAACAGCCCTATTGAAGACAAATTCCAGAGCTCCTCAGGGCACAAAATGAGTATAACCTGTGGACTGTGGAGTGAGGAGGAGGCTCCCTGGGCTGCAGACAAAAGATGTCTCCAAAAGCCATGGGTGCTCTCTCTCACCCTCAAAGAGAGGAAGCTGCATCCCCGCCAATAACCTTCAGGAGGCATCTACTACCAAACGGTTGTCAGCAGCAGGGGCTGAATTTTCAGACAGGGCCAGATATGACTCGATGCTACTGCCTTGTAGCATTTTCCCCTCTGCCTTATGGGGTGGGACGGGTAGACATCTGGCCCAGAGGAGAGACTGGGGTCTTGGCGGGACCCTGAAACACAGAGCAAAAGGGTGGCACCCAGCCCAGTGAAAGGGTTGTGGCCCTGCAGCTTCTGGGCTGCGTGTCCCATGGGAAGGGTCTCTGGAGCCCTTGCCTTTTTGCCTTTTGAAGGCTTCTAATTAAGCGATTGCCTAGATTAGGATGTGGGCTTGAAGCCAGGCACCTCCCCCTGGGGAGAGCAAATGGCACTTCAGATTCATCACCCAAACTCAGCATTTTCCCATTTCTTTTTGCAGTACACAAGAGGGAATGTTGTTGGCTGGTATTTTCCCCATAATGTTTTTTTTCCTTAAAATTATTTTCTTTTTTTGAATGAAGAAGGATACGCAGTTCCAAGCACCCAATTGCCTCCATCGCCTCAGAGGCTTGGCTGAGGCCAGACTGCAAGGAGCCAAACAACCCAGGGGCAGCAAACTCTGCACCCCCTCCCAGCATCACCTCAAGAGTCAGGATTAAAGGCAGTTTTTGTGGAGAGACACACTGGGCAGTATCCCACTATTTTCTAAAGGCTGAGGTGACCCAGGAAGAGATTTTAAATTACATGGGAGAAGCCCGGGCTTTGTGGGCCAAAATGGCATCTCTTGGTGGTCCCATGAAGAGGATCATTGGAGTCTGCATAGCAAGGGATGTTGTTGAGCGGTGAATGATTGTAGATGGAGTACAACTTTTGTGCACGAGAGAGAGATTGGGACAGAGAGAACTTGGGGATACGTTTGTAGCCAAGAGCTGGTCAGGCCTCTGTAAGTCCCAGGCAACCCCCTCCCGCGACTTTGGAAAAAGACGTTAATGAGGGGTGAGTCAGAAATTTCCCCTGCATTTATCTTCATATAAATCTACCTTTCCCTCTTCCCCCCTCCTTCTTTATTTTGCAGATATTTTCCTCCCCTGTTCCCAAGATCCTCCTCCTGAGCAGCCACCATGGGAAGTAAAACCCTGCCAGCCCCAGTGCCTATCCATCCTTCCCTCCAGCTTACCAACTACTCCTTCCTGCAAGCATTCAATGGGCTGCCCGCTGTGCCCTCCGACCACCTCTCCAACCTCTACGGCTTCAGTGCCCTGCACGCTGTGCACCTGCACCAGTGGACTCTGGGGTACCCAGCCATGCACCTGCCCCGCTCCTCCTTCTCCAAAGTGCCCAGCGTCTCGAGCCTGGTGGATGCACGATTCCAGCTGCCAACCTTCCCACTCTTTCCGCATGTCATCCAGCCCAAGCAAGAGGCTACCAATGTGACCCTCAAAGCCAAACCCCGTTTTGACTTTGCCAACTTAGCAGTGGCTGCCACACAAGAGGACCACTCTAAACTGGGACAGGCAGACAGTCAGGGCTCACCTACAGGGCTGGGGTCTTTGCTTGAGGTGACTAAACTCTCTCCAGAGAAGAAACCCACGCGGGGAAGGTTACCGTCCAAAACCAAGAAGGAGTTTGTGTGTAAATTCTGTGGCAGGCACTTCACGAAGTCCTACAACCTTTTGATCCATGAAAGAACCCACACAGATGAACGGCCGTACACATGTGACATTTGTCACAAGGCCTTCCGAAGACAGGATCACCTGAGGGATCACAGGTAACTATTTTATTTCTCCTTTCCTTTTTTCCTTGTGTGTTTGTACTCTCCCAGTTACCCATCTACATACTACAGTGTTCCCTCTAAGTTTTCTTCTGCCCACTGCTGGTGGAGGAGCTTAGGTAACTCACTTTGGAAGACATACCTCACTCCACAAAAACAACTCTCACAGCCTCCTTCTTAGCTTCCACAGAGGTTTTCATGCTCCATTTGCGTCGTCTCCTCTGCCTTTGGGTTCATCCAGAAGTGTCAGGAAGACACACAGCCTGAGGATCCCAAAGTAAGAGAGAAACCCTTTATCCCTAAGAAAGGTACCCTATAAGCCTCTGACACCCTCCTCTCCTCTTGCATACACACAGACAGACAATTACCCAAGCGAGGCACACCAGCTCTCTGTCTCAGCAGTAGGTGTAAAACATCTCCAGCATGTTCTTCCTTAGGTAACTCATTGCTGAGTGTGGCCAGCTATTTCTGATGACTCAATTGTTTTTCTCTCTCTAGATATATCCATTCTAAAGAAAAGCCTTTTAAGTGTCAAGAATGTGGGAAAGGATTTTGCCAGTCCAGAACACTAGCGGTCCACAAGACACTGCACACGCAAGTAAAAGAACTGAAACCTGCCAAACTTAAGTGTTGAATATCCAACTTCTACGAACTTTTCTTCCCCTTCAGACTTTACACCAAAACCAGAGCAGAAACAAAACTTTCAGGATGGGAGCACTGGACTTTGTGCTTTGTTGTTGTTTGTACTTTAAAAAGGGCAAAATCCGCACCCCTGCAATCCCCCATCCAAGCAATTAACTTCCTAAGTCGTGGGTGAAAAGATTATTTTGAATTTAAAATATACATGAATGATACAGAGAGTGCTAGCTGACTTATGTGGCTTTGATAAACTTTATGCCAAAAGGTGGTGCTCATGTGTTGGACAGGAATCTCTCTCAAGCCAAACAAAACCCCACAAGACACCTCTTCCCAATCCCTCTCCCCCCCCCAAAAACCCCAAAATCATAGCTTCCAAAAGTATTACTTAAAAAAATCCAACCTCTTATTTTATACTTTTTTTTTTGACTGTATAAAGCTTCTTATTTTTACACTTCAGGAAATACAGAGAATTCCAGAAGAAAATTAAGAACTGAAATGGTGGTTTCTCATCACAGCACCATTAGGACAAGGAGAAGGGCAACTTGCAAATCTCTTTTGCTGGTTTGTTTTCAGAAAAGGAGAAGGAAGATTAATGTTTGGAAATGACCTAAGTCTCTCAAGTGGGGAATCCTATCGTGCAGTAGAAAATGCAGACCCACAGGTCCCTGGTGTTCGTGACAGATCAATGTTGATGGGATATGGAGACCTTTTCAATTACTTTGTGGTCTAGTGCGCTGTGAGGAAGTTTGTAACTTGTGGACTTATTTAAAAAAAAACAGAAGAAAGAAAGAAAGATTGCAGTACATCAGACTGACAGTATGCACAACATGGTTTTAGTGGTACTTTAAAGTCTTCGTGTGTCCTGGTGTGAGAGAACAAATCTCAACTCGAGAGCATATTTTTTTAAATACTGGCTTTCTGAACAGTGTATTCAAATTAAGAGACATTCCAATAAGTTTTGTTTATTAAAAAAAAAAAAAAGTTGTATGGCTGTTTGGCACTTTATGCTGATTATTGGTAATTGACATTTATCACTGGATTGTGTGTGGTTTTTAAGTATTAAAATAAATTGTTATTTTACAGGCAAATCTTCATGGACTACATATGTGTTCATTTGGTTTCTGGTCTCTTCTGTGGTAAACCCTCTATGCATTAGCTTTACCCCTCCTAATTTTCCTTTTTTTTTTTTTTTTTTTTTCTTTTAGGCTGACAAAAGTAAACAGATCTGCAGACAGTCAAATAATTTTGCTCCTAGAGAGGAAAAAAAAATCGTCTTGGGTAACTAAATCTTGGGTATTAGCTGATAAGATTAGGTGTCAGAAGTGTTATAAAACAAATCAGATGAGTAATGGGTGAACTGGTGCTGCTCTCAGAGTCTGGAGGCACTGCGGGGAGAGCCGCCTTCACACCCCCTTCCCTGCCTTGTCAGGAGCGGGCATTTTTCAGTCACATCTTCAGTCGGTTCAGCGCTGATTGGGGCGGCCTTTGATTCCCGGCAGCTGTCTTAGATCAGAGATGTTTATTCCACTGCGAAACCTCGTTGGATCGAGACGAGGGAAAGAGCGCTCAGTGTTGGGGTATCTGCCTGAGCTTTTGAAGCGCCTCTTGCCGTCCTTTCTCGTCCTCTAGGGAAACCCTAAACCTTCTTTCTTCTGCCTCAAGTCAGTGCCTCCTCGCGATAAGAAAACCTCGTTCTTTACAAAATTCGCAAATTAGGGCGGTGACGAGGCCGGGGTGACGCCGGAGCTGCCTGGCTGCTCCTATGTGGCCGGGGTGCGGATGTTCTGCCGCCAGCATCTCGGTCCAGTGCAGGTCTTTTCCCCTTTTCCCCTTGCAGCTTTTAGAAATTATTTCTTTATTTGGTCAAAGAATCCTATCAACGACAGGGGAAAAAGTTGCAGTTGTAGCTCATTTAAGGAGAGGGAGGGGAGAAACCTCTCTCCCCTCTTATTTGTTGGACACCCATTCAAGCGCATTGTAACTAATGTAGAGGCACTTGTAGGACGGGCTGCAGACCCACCTCTAACGTGGAAAGGCCCTCGGGGAGCGCGGTATACGAGGTTCTGCCTGTACCCACATCCAGCTCCGGAGGCAGGGAGTACGGGAAGCGTTTGAAGCCGGCTTGCTTTGGCTTTGCTTCCCACGCCGCCACTCACTTCCCAAACCGCGCAAATGCTTTTGCATCTGAAAAAAGGCATCTGAAAAGCAACAAGTGAGGAGTGCAGGGTGAAGCCCGCAGTAACCTGCAGGTAGCCCGGGCTAGCCCAGCGCGGGACTAGCGTGGGAGGACGCGGAGTCCTGCGCGCCGCTCCACCGGCGCCTCCTGCAGGGAACCCCGCTGGAACGAGGAGCATCCCTTCGCGGCGCTAGCCCCGCGCGGCCCACCCGGGCCGGGATGCGTTTGCTGGGCAGTGTTTCTCGGAGGAGATTTGAAGGTGCCCTCCTCCTCACCTCCCCGCTCCTCCACTGGGGGGTTTAGAGGCGTCGCCTTGCCCTCTGTGGAACACGCCGAACGTCCCCGGCCGCGCGGCGGGAGGGAGACCTCCGGCTGCCCCCGGCGTGCCCCGCTACCGGGCCAGGGGCACCGCATCTCGCATCCCGCCCCTCGCAGAGGGGGGACCCGCAGACCCGATCACTGACACGGTGTTATCGGGCAGCCCAAGGGCTGGATGGTTCATCCTCCACGATGCACTTCTAAAGGGGGATTCAGAGAGAATATCCTCGATGAACTTCCTCGTCCCTCTTGTGTCGCTCCTGGCACCAAATAAAGGAACAGGGATGCTTCCGAAGTTCTGTCGCGGACGGAGAAAGTAAAAGGCTCTGTCACTTGGAATTAGTAGGTTTTCAGAGGTCGTAACTACGAGGCAGAAATCCGAGTCGGGTCCACGGGGAGGGAGGAAGGGACTCCGGGAGAGTCACGCCACCGAGGCTTTCCCACGGTCGCTCCACCATCTCCTTAACATCGGAATACTGAAATACCCGCGGCGAGGTAAGAAACCGTGTCAGTTACTGGTTCCTGGGAACCTTTATAACTGCGGGGTCGCGAGGGTGGACAAACCACTTTTCCCAGCTGGACATGAGAAGCATTTTATTTGTAAGGCTGAAACCTAGTGATCTGACTGCCAAGAATTTCTTTGGACCTGCATTTTTATGTGCAGTTAAAAAGAAAAAAATCCCCAGAATTGACATAATTGGAAATACAGATGTATTAAAACTACGTGGGCATACGGGGCACAGGATGCACACACAACCTCTTAATGTCATTTGTACTACACTAATACGTGTGTGTATTTCCTCCTCCCAGAAGGCCACTTTCGCTCTGGTGCAAACAAAGGTTATCTATCTAGTCACGCTCTCAGCTGCACTGGGGAACAGTTCGCCTGTTCCCTCCACTGTTTTGAAATTTGCTAGGCAGTATCAATCCAGGGATTCCTAGGAAAGCAAAGTAGAGATGAAATCATGACAGTCAGAAGAGATAAGTCATACTAACCCCCAAAATAAATGAAAGGAATTAGACGGGAAATGTGCCTTTTGAATCAGGATCACAAATAATTTAAATGATTAATTACCTTCCCTTTCTTTTTTTTTTTTTGTTCTTTTCTATCTTTGCATGTGTTTTAATCTGACATTTGTGCAGTGAATAAAACTTACTTAGGCCTCTGTCTCACAATTGCTTTAAATTTTGCATTTTCATCATAAAAACATCACCAAATGGGAACTTGCAAGAGTCAAAAACTGGACACCTGACTCTAGTTGCCTCTTCCTGCAAGATTTACAAGGGAAACACAGATTTTTATTTTTTTTTAATTATTTTTTTAACCATTTCCAGTTCAGAAGGAAAATGTAAAGATGTGTTGGCACATCTTTCTCTTTCCCGCCTTTTACATTCCAGTCATTCTTTTTCTGCCCATAAACTGTTACTACTCCACAAAAACCTGATTCTGCACAGCCTATTTTTTTGTTGGATGCAGGAAGAAATCCTGTCAGATGGGGTCTTCAGTGTACACTTGTGAAACAGAGCAAAAGTGTCTCTTAGAATGTGCACTGGAACAGCAAATAGTTACTTTTCAGCTGTGGATTGCATGTGCCTCTGAAAAGGGGACCACAAATCATTAGGTTTTTAAAAGTTTCATATGAGTTGTATATTAATCCCAGTTTCCCTAGGGATGGATTAATCCCAGCTTCCCAGTTGTGTGGCTACAGACAATGAGGATGGGTTTGGGGGCAGGGGAAAAGGGAGACGGGTAAAGGAGGGGGAAATTAAAAAGATATATCACAGGAATACGTGGCCTGAGTGGAGAGGAGCCATAAGTACTTAAGTTTCAATACCTTCTCTACCTCTGTCACCACATGTGATCTGAAGCAAATCACTTCAGCTCCCTGTTCTGGTTTTTTCATCTGTAAATTGGGGGTAATGCTGCTGATTTTGCTCCCAAAAGACCAGGCACACTGATGTAGAAACTCCTGCTCAACTCTCAGTAGTGAAAGGAGAAACTCTAATTCGTACCTGGGCAGCTGAAAGCAGGGGCTGATCTGGGAGATCTAATGGAGTGTGCAAGACAAATTTATATTCACGTGTAATTCTTTTCCAGACCTGGCAGTTTTGCTGAGAGATGGAGTCCTAGAGTCCAGTATGCTTTTCTTCTCTACATTCCTATCCAGTGACTACACAGGAGGAATGGCATGGGCCAAATTCATCCCTGGTGGGACTCCAATGACATCAGTCATCTTTATAGGAGTTTTTTGAATGAAGTCAATTGGGTTTTATGAGGACCGAGTTTGGCCACATATGTGTTTAACTGCTCAGAGAGCTGCAGTGAAGGAAGCTTCCCTTGACTTAGGAAGAATCACTTCTGATCTGAGTCTGGGAGACACAAGCAAAGCCTTTGACTTGTTTTGCATAGTCAAGTTTACCTTATTTAAACTCAAGGAGCAGCAGAAGTATTCTCAACATCCAACTTCAGAAAACCAGCAACCTAGCTGCCTCAAAATGTTCATAACTTTTGATGACACACTGTATTTGTCTGTGTGGCTCAGTTCAGCATTGTGCTACGGATACCCAGAAGACATGTTTACATGACACAGGGCAGCACCCTGTGGGTATACTGGCAGGAGGCCTGTGAGCAGAACAGTGGCTTCAACACAATGCTCTGCTGGGGCTTTTGGCTCTGTCTTTTATCAGACCTAGCTGTTCCAGGGTCCCTGTCATGCTCATATGTCTCTGCCACTTCCAGTCCACATTTCCCTCACCACTGCTCTCTGGGGCCGCGATGTTCCACTGCCAATTACACCTGATGAGAACATGATAAATCACTAAAGAGGTGCACTCTGTCCTCCTCCTGTGACTTAGCTGCTGGTGCTGACTCCCCCTGTACCTTATACCTGTGCTTTATTGGAGTCTAATATTGCACCAAGCATATACAAAAGTTTATATTAGCATTATGGTTCCTGACTCAGTGGCTATTGGAAAATAAAACAAATCAACATATTGATCAGTGTCAGTGCTTTTCAAGTTTGTCTACAGAGCTTGTCACTAATCAGTTAAATTATTTGCAACATCTGTTCATTCTGTATTCTTATTGTATCTTCTAAGGAACAAGTTAACTTGAACAGCTAGGGAACTGTATTGCTAAGTCCAAGCAGCACAATGTGTGTTCTGGTCATATGAGGCACCTCAGCTATTTCCCAGGGGATGAATGTCATGTCTCTTTTCCTGTTTTTTAACTTGTCTTCTGTCTTTACTGGATCTTTGGGTGATGTGACTTACATTTAATCTTCAGTATTTTTACGTTATATGTGTAGAATATTGAAATGTGAACTTATGGGCTTGTTCATCTCTTTTACAGCAACTTGACTTGGCTGAATCAAGTGGAGCTATTCTGGTTTTACAGCAGAAGTTGTGAATTAGATCTAGTGATGGTTTTGCTGCAGCCACAAAATCCACGTTACTGAGACCCACTATCACATTCTGTCCCTATTTAATTTTCCTAAGTTTAATTTTATCAATTTGTCTTCTGTCTCTATTTGTCCATATTTCATACTAAGGATAAACTGAGGAGAGAAGAAAAAAGAAATTTTTATGGACTTT